TGTTATAATCTAGTATGTTTTGCATTAGTTTAAGCAATCTTAAATAATGAAATGTAAACAAAATTTAGTTAAATATAAACTGTCAATCTTGTCGGTTGTATTTACTTCAGTTGGTGACGAGGATAAAAATCTGCAATTAATCAATCGCTTTCACGCTTATTTCGTACCGTTCAATTTTACATACAATCATGCCGGGCGAAAGTGAAATTTATAAGCAATTGCTTAAAGAACAACAAGAGTTCTCAAAAAATTTACTGAAACAACAACGTGAGTGGATGGACTCAATGTTCCAAAAACAAGGTACTGCCGGTGTATCTGAAAGAAATAACAACATTGTTCCAGTATTTCACAAATTTTCGAAAGAACAGCAAACCTGGGAATCGTACTTAGAACAACTTAACCAACATTTTTTAGCATATTCAGTTCAGTGCAGTGAAAAACAAAAATCATTTTTCTTGTCTTGGATTGGCACAGAAAATTTTGAGCTGCTAAAAAATCTTTTCGGTAACACGAAAATACAAGAACAATCTTTCGAAAATTTAACGGAAAAACTAACGGATCATTTCCAGTCGAAACGACATGTAATCGCTGCACGTTACGATTTTTTCAAAAGGGAAATGAAGCCACATCAATCATACAGAGAGTGGGTAGCCGATCTCCGCGGATTGGCAAGAGAGTGTAACTTTTCGTGCTCAGCCCAGAATTGTTTGCACAATTTCGTGGATGATATGATTCGTGACCAAATTATTATACGTACACCGCACGATGCTGTGCGCACCGCTGCGTTCCAAAAGCCCCAGCCAACACTTGCTGATGTTTTACAGATTGCAGAATTGTACGAAACAACCACTAAAACGGTGGCAACAATTAAAGAACAAACGATCGAAAACTCAATGCCTGTTAATTCAGTTGGTACAATTATAAAAAAACCGGGTGTTTTCAACAATAACAATAATAAAGTAAAATTCAAATCATGTTCTGGCTGTGGAAACTCTCATGCAAGAGAAAACTGTAAATTTAGAAATGCTGTATGCAATAGATGTAGCAAAATTGGACATATTGCGCCAGTGTGCATGTCAAAACAAAACAAGAACAACAAACGTAATTCAGGTGATGAAAACAAGAAGAAAGATTACCGTCGTAAAAGTCACAACATTGGTACTGTTGAAACAATTAACAGTTTAACAGGTATTGTAAAAACTGAAAGCAATAAGAATTACATTGACTTGGAAATTTGTAATAAAATTGTGTCTTTCCAAATGGATTCTGGTGCAACAGTTTCTCTAATAAATAAGCGAACATTCAAAACTCTAAATTGCCCAAAGTTGCGAAATTGTACAAAAACCTTATTTGGTTTTGGCAAAAATGAAATTCCAGTGCTTGGTGAACTTTGCGTATATATCAAATGTGGCGGAAAAGAAAGGGAAGTGGTAATCGTTGTCGTGGATGTCGAAAACTGTAACAATTTATTCGGTTTCGATTTATTCACAGAATTCGGGTTTGAGATTCAGCAAATTTGTAACATTACTGAAAGTGAATCACACAGAATTAGCGAGCTGTGTAAGAAATATGGTGATATTTTTGAACCAGCTCTTGGCACAATAAAAAACTTTAAGGTCAGTATTTTTTTAAAGCCAAATGCACATCCGAAATTTTACAAAAGCCGACAAATTCCATTTTCGCAAATGTCACTTTTCAAGAAAGAAGTCGATCGATTGACAAATGCGGGTATTTGGAAACCTGTGAAGTTTTCCCAATGGGCTTCGCCTATTGTACTAGCGCCAAAAGCTGATGGTTCCATAAGAATTTGTGGGGATTTTAAACAAGCAGTCAATGCGCAAATTGACATTGAACAATATCCTTTGCCCATACGCGAAAGTCTTTTCCATAAAATGAATTGCGGTCAACATTTTACAAAAATCGACCTTAAGGACGCGTATTTACAAATGGAACTCGACGATGAAGCAAAAACAATAATGGTTGTCAACACTCCACTTGGGTTATTCCAATACCAACGTTTACCGTTTGGGATTGCAAGCGCTCCAGCTATATTCCAAAGATATCTTGAGCAGTTACTTCAAGGCGTAGAAGGTTGTGGAAATTATCTCGATGACATCATCATCTCCGCACCTACATTTCAACAACACATCAGCCGCCTAGAACAAGTACTTCGTATTTTGCAACAAAATGGTATCAGGTGCAAGCAAGAAAAATGTTTCTTTCTGCGAGATAAAATCGAATATCTCGGGCGTCAAATTAGTGCAAAAGGTATATTGCCAGATGAGTCAGGACTAAAAGCAGTAAAAAACCTGCAGCCGCCTAAAGATCTAAAGCAAGCAGAAGCATTCATGGGTAAGGTAAACTATTACCATAATTTTATACCTAATTTTTCGCAATTATTCGCGCCAATCAACATGCTGCGCCGAAAAAATGTAAAATTCACATGGGGTACAGCACAACAACAAGCATTTATAGCTCTTAAAACGCATATTCTCAATGCAGCGCAATTAGCACATTATCAGGAAGATTTACCGTTGGTTCTAGCTACAGATGCCTCCTCCTATGGCATAGGAGTCGTGCTCTAGCATACGTACTTTGACGGTACAGAAAGGCCTATTGCTTTTGCATCTAAAACTCTCGACATTCATCAACGACGATATAGTCAGATAGAGAAGGAAGGGCTAGCTATCGTTTTTGGAGTCAAGCGTTTCCATCAATATTTATACGGAAGAAGATTCACCTTGGTTACTGACCACAAACCTCTTGTTAGCATTTTTAATCCAATTCATCAGTTGCCGTCGATGACGTCACATCGTTTACAGCGATGGGCTATTATACTAATGGCTTATCAGTATGATGTTCGGTATCGTAAAACTACTGAGCATGGAAATGCCGATGCTTTATCTCGTTTACCTGTTGGTGAAGATAAAACTTTTGATCATGAAGAATCTTGTTTCAACATCAATGAACTTAACACACCTATTGACGCTGAAATAATTCGTCAGCATGCCAAAAATGACCCAATTCTTCGCCGAGTTTATTTTCTCGTTACAAACGGTTGGCCTGAAAAGCTAATGCCTCAAGATGCTGATCTTCGATCATTTTTCAATCATCGCTTTGCTTTAATACTACACAACAATTTGCTTTGCCTCCAGACGGAGTACAACCGGGTTGTCATTCCAGCCTCCCTTAAGCAGAAAATTCTTAAACTTCTTCATGATGGTCATTGGGGAGTATCGAGAATGAAACAGCTAGCTCGACAACATGTCTGGTGGACTAATATTGACAAAGACATCGCACAATTAACTGAAAATTGTGATGTGTGCAAAATTGCAAATCCTGTTCACGCACGTGAATACTTAAGCTGGCCTGAAGCTGATCGACCTTGGGAGAGAGTACATATCGACTTTGCTGGTCCATTTTGTAATTCAATGTGGCTAATTTGTGTCGACGCTTTCTCGCAATTTCCGTTCGTTGTACAACTATCTACAACAACAACGGTTGACACCGTATCAGCATTGTCTTCTATATTTTCTCTGGAAGGTATACCAGAAACCATCGTAAGTGACAATGGTCCGCAATTTACAGCTGAAGCATTCAAACATTTTTGCTCAAAACTTGGCATCAAACATATAACAACAGCGCCGTTTCATCCAGCCTCAAACGGGTTAGCCGAACGATTCGTCAGATCTTTTAAAACTGCTGTTCAGAAAAACATTGACGATGGATTGTCTCTCAAATTCGCTGTATCAAAATACCTTGCAACATATCGTGCAATGCCGAATGCTGAAGGTAAATCACCTGCGGAACTTTTACATGGAAGGCCTGTTCGTACCTTGTTGAGTCAACTGTTTGAATCGCCTAGGAAGCACCTTGAAGCTTCGAAACGGAAAATGAAATTTAGTCTAAAGCAACCCGTCTTCGCTCGAAACTACGCAAGAGGGGAAAAATGGATAAAAGGAGTTATTGTAAAACAACTTGGTAAAATGGTTTACAGAGTGAACACATCTTTTGGTTACATCAAACGTCATGTTAATCAGCTTAAAACTAGAAATAGCTCTGACCTCTCTTCACAACCAATTTTTGAATTCGCTCCAAATTTCATCAATGCCACACCGCCTTCATCTAGCCAATCAACATTAATGCCTAGTGAAGAACGTTCTACCGAAGTAGTTCAACTTCGAAAAAGTGGTCGTATTCGGAAGGATGTAATTCGATTTGAATCCGACGATTTCAGGAAAACTTAAGCCTTGTCAAAAATTAAGGGCAGAGAAAGTGTTATAATCTAGTATGTTTTGCATTAGTTTAAGCAATCTTAAATAATGAAATGTAAACAAAATTTAGTTAAAGATAAACTGTCAATCTTGTCGGTTGTATTTACTTCAAAAAGCATATTAATTAAGAACCCATGTTGCAAGAAGTGCCAAACCTTACTTACAATCCATCCATCTATAATTTTTTTATTATACTAAGTATTATTATTTGATTCATTTCTTTAATTCATTCCTAGTTTAATTCTGCCCAGTTTATAATTTTTACTGATCTAAAATATAATTTGTTTTAATTTAATATATTTTTTTAGAAAAGATTACGAAACAAACAAACTCGTTTCTGGTTTACTGCAGCTGGCGCCTCACACGCATCTCGTGTTGGATGAGACACATATGCAACAAGGACAGTTAAACAGTCAAGGGGTTTTAGCTATGCAAAATATCGTACATCTTGTTAAAAATCAAGAGATCCAATGTGATTTTCAATATTATAACATGAAATATTTGGCAGATGTGCCAGTTCTAGTGTTTAGCGAAGGCAAGACCATGATTCCAGTAAGTCCTAAAATATCATATCTATATAAAATAAAATAAATATATTTTATATCTATACAGATGCATTTTAGAATTCCAATTAACACCGATAACAACACCACAGAAATAATTATGGAAACTTTAAAAGCTGCACATCATTATTTGCAACCTGATCGGCTAGATCAATTTAGACGTTTCATCACGGAAGCAAAACTCTGTGAATTTTCTATGGATCCGGAAAATATGGAAATGATACAGACAGATTATGTACAAATGCGTAAAGACAAAATTATCAATAGCAGCGATGAATTACATTCCTTGCTCACATTGTCACGCTTGCTAGCAATAGCAAGAGGGAAAAAAGTGCTCGATAAGGAATCTTGGGAATTGGCAAAGGAAATGGAACATAAACGGAGAGAGCGTATAAAGGAATTACCCAAATTCAAACCTAAAGTTTAAGTACAAAATGTTTTAAATATTATTATTTATTCAAATAAAAAATCTCTTAGTTTTTATAAAATTATTATTTATTGATATTTTGTTGTTAATATTTAAGTCTAAAACTATGTAAGAAACCTGAAAAAAAGAATTATATTGAAAAAATGTTTACTATATATCCTTTGTACTAAATTTAGAATGTGTGTGGCATTTGTTTTTGATGTATCCAATCACGCATGCCAACTGTGTAGAAAGTAATGCATCTTCATCATCA